TTTTGGTCACGCACTTTCCCGCGTACATTCACCAATTGCATAAATTGTCATCGTTTGCAAAATAGGAAACTCTTTGGAGATTTATAAGTATTAATACAATTTCACGTGGAATTTATAAGTCTTGTCTCTAGAATTTCTATAGCATTTAATTATATTTGTTACAAATAAAGTCTACGATTTTTATGATTTTCTGGAAGTGAAGGGAAGGGTTAAGAAAGCGGGATACGGAAGAAAGACATACCTACAGTTGCCCTGTGTTGCCAGTGCGCACTATTATACGCAGCGCGCCTCAAAAGACTTGTTAACTAATGTCTCTCGTGGGCCTAAGGTAGGTTCAAAAGCAGAATCTTGTAACCGAAATATTTCCTTCAAACAGATACGCGCTGTTGGGGGCCAGCGGATGTGGCAAGACAACCCTGTTGTCCTGTATCGTCGGAGTACGTTATCTGGACAGTGGAGAGGTGTGGGTTTTAGGGGGATCTCCGGGCAGTATGGGCTGAGGAATTCCAGGGCCTCGGGTGGGTTATATGCCGCAAGATACATCTTTAGTTGAACAATTTTCTACTAGCGATGCTCTTTATTACTTCGGCAGGATCAATGGGCTTGACGATAAAGAGATCGGTAAGATACCGAATGTATGGGATAAGAAAACTTGTAGTTGTTGCGCGCGAAATATCATGTAAATTCTGACAAGTTTTACTTTTACTTTCAACTAATTGTAAGTCTTTCAAGCGGTTCTAATTTTGTCTTGCTCGAAAGATATTCTACTATATAATTTTAAACAACCACAGTTTATCCATGTTATTTCCAAGAAACGAGACATAGGTTTTTCTCGGAATTGTTCCAACTGCCTCCAGCAAATCAGTTGGTGAAGAACATGAGTGGAGGTCAACGAAGAAGGGTTTCCTTTGTCGCCGCATTGATGCATAAGCCTGAACTTCTAATTCTAGACGAGCCTACCGTAGGTTTGGACCCAATTTTGAGAGAAAAGCAAGTAGAGTTGGCTCGTTTTTTAGACGTGATAAGCACAGAATATTAAGAAAATGTTTGGACGTCTTCTTTCTTTGCAGCATTTGGGCTTATCTGATCAAACTCACGCAAGAGGAAGGTACCACGGTATTGATCACGACGCATTATATCGAAGAAGCTAAAAAGGCTAATAAAGTGAGTCCCCACTAGACTTTCCATTACATTTGCCTCAATAATATTTACGACTGCACTAAAAAAATACTTTCTCCTTTTAAAGGGTGCGTCAAAAAATTTTTAAGAAATGTTCTTATGACCTGGTTTACATACATTGTGCACTTGATGCGCGTATCAGATAATGTATTTGAACAGAGCAGTCAATTACTAAACAAATTTACTAGTTGTTTTCAGTATTAAATAAATTAAACATTTGTGTTTTATTTAAGAAATTTAAAAAGTTTTAACATATTTTTAATGCAGTTTATCTAGAATTATATAAAAAGTTGGTAAACTTCCTATGTAAGCTAGATTTTGGTTCTGAAGCAAAAACTATTCCTTACTTTTGAAAACAATGTGTTCTTCCTAATTGTACATGTCACAAATTTGATCGTGCTTAATATTGTATATTGTGGATGATACGCAGGTCGGTTTGATGAGACATGATAAATTGTTAGCTGAATCGGCGCCGCAGAAATTACTGGAGCAATTTCAATGTTCGTCATACGAGGAAATTTTCCTGAAATTGTGCGAGGCACAGAATAATGCAGTCACTTTAACTGAAGCTCAGGGATCCAATATGGAAGACGCTAGTAGCGATGCCTTCAATCACGATCAAGACAAATATGAACTGCAACTAAAAGTAGGGGAAGCCCGGGCAAAGTGAACGCCCTGGGCAAAGCGGATAGGCTTTATTTTTGCTCGTACATATAGTAGAAGGCGCTATTAGTTTCTAGCAGATAGTATAAGCGATCGGACTTGACGCCATAACAGTGTGAAAAATCATATAGTTGCTCTCGTTAGTTTTTTAAAGAGAAATAATAAATTTTGTATAATTTCTTACAATTTTCGCTAAGGTATGTACCTTCATTATTAATAGTAATTGTTCCTTAATCACTATGAATGCTTTTTTACAAGAATTCTCTCTTTTTAATACTCTATTGAAATATAAAATATTTCATTTATTACTCATACCCACTTTAACCTTTCCAAGTTTGCGCCAAGTAGGTCCTTTGGGCAAAGCGGATGGGGGCAAAGCGGATGACCCATCCTCTTTGCCCGGCCATGTTGTAATTGCTCTAGTTGCAGCCGTGTAGAAAGGAAACGAGCTAAAAATGGAACGAAGTTTGCTAAACATAAGGAGAACTCATAGTTCTCATGTTTTGTGTGTTCTGCAAGATATACCGATCCGCCGTCCGAAGACTGGATCCAGTGCAGCCAGTGTGCACTAGAGTCCCTGTAGTAAGAGTCTGGCGAAAAATATTCTCCGTTTGATTGGTTCGACGCAAAATGGCGGAACCAATAAGGTGTCTCGAATCTGTACTCATACCTCCCAGATGAAAGCAGCTACGTCCATGGTGGGGGGGCCGCCGAGCGCGACAGAGCTCCCCCCCATGCTCTGTCTCACTCTCTCGCACGCTGTGCGTTTCTGACAGACGCCATTTTGCGTCAACCTTTGCCAGACTCTTACTACAGGGACTCTAGTGTGCACCAGATGGGCACATGAAGGCTGCACTGCATATCGAGGACGTGGCAGTTACTTCTGTAAAGATTGCCAAGATTAATTATAGTGATTTGTTTTGATTTTTTTGCTCCATCCACTTTGTCCGAGTGACCCATCCGCTTTGCCCGACCCCTCTGGGCAAAGCGGATAATTTTCCTACTTTAGTTTTCGATACCAAAGAAATATAAATGTTTAAGTTCTTTATGTTTTTCTTGTTTTATTTGAACGTTCATTGTATTAAGAAGATTTTAGAATAAAAAAAAATTATGATCTTAATTTTAACTGTTTTTTGTTTCAAGTCAAACCTTAACACATCCGCGCTGCCCGGGCTTCCCCTATATACAAATTTGGTAAATATGCAGAAAAGGTCACACCTCACCGACTTCCTCGCCACTTAGATATGTTGTAGGGGAGAGTTTTCTGAGTAATTCCCCGCAAAAATCAAGTGGGGGACGGCATTGGTTTAGGAGATATAACAAATTGAAAACTAAAAATTTTAATACTTTTTCTTAGTAATTTTTATTAAAATGCCTGTGTAGCTACCTTTAAAATCATAAAAAAACTACCATTTTCATTTACAACAGA